GGATGCTGCGGTATGGTGGTGTAGTCTACGAAGCCGTAGCGAATATCTTAATTAAAACTGTTACGGAGAGCTATGGGCTAGTTAAAATTTAGGGCCATAAAAATATAACAGTAGATTTATTACCACCCCCCGCCACCACTGCTACCACCAGCTGGTGACTTTTCGTATACCATGGTGGTGGCGACGTGTAATAAAAACTCGCAATGACTAAAAAACCATATAATTGCCAAGACGTAGAATTTAATTGCTTTGTCTTCGTTCACCACACATAAATGATTAAAATAATTATTACTCCTGTTGTTTATAATATTATAGTATTATTACTGTAATTATTACGTTCCTAAGACGTTTGTGACTATATGCCGACGATTGATAACTTCGAAGGTGAATGCTTGTCTAAGATAGCCTACAACGAAATCACACGTGGAAATCTAATTTTATTTACGCTCGTCGACTACCTACCAGCGGCATATAATCGACCCATTCGCTTTATTTTTATTTTATATTTCCATTCTTTTTTTTATATAAGAAAAGGAATTGCTGTTGTTCTTTCGTCCTACCAGTTGTTAGGCTGAAACCTGCACAATAAACGAATCAACTCCTTTCTCTTTTTCTTTTGCGAATTCTCATACAGAAAATACAATTTCAACACTTTAAGCAGGCTATATGCACTTTACAAAAAAGTCAGAAAATGATTATAGCTTTGAGTTTTCGTAAGGCCGTCACAATGCGTTTACGTACCACACCGTAAGTAAAATGATTCCCACGGGTCAATGAAAATATTATGAAATATTAATGTATCGTCACCGACTGACGACGAGCTGACAAGGCAGACCGAAGCCATATGCTTTGTGAATAATAGACCTCTACAGAAATTCAAAAAGTTTTAATATTAATCTTTATTAATTATTTGATAATAATAAATGTCACAAGAAACATAAAAAAAAACAAATAACGTTCTTTAAAAAAAATAAATAATACTTATAACTACACAGAAAATGCAACCAATATGTTCAATAAGTTATACTGAAAAAATATGTTGCAGTCTGTTTATACATTATATTATTTATTATTTTTACAGTGACTTGTATAAATAACAAATTGCTTTTTTATTTTATACATAATATACTAACACAGTTATCATGTTGATAAGTTATTTATTAAAATAATATTAGGTTGTTGGTGTGTGTTCCAGAAGCCCCGAAATTATATCGATACAATTTAACCGGTAAAAATTGTGGGTGGGTGGGTATATGTAGGAATAATTAAATTTATTAATAAAAACTTATTAGTTATTATTAAGAGTTATGAGTTTATGGAGAATAAAATTTGTCATTCTACTATGCCATTTTACGAAATATTATATTGTTTTGCTGTGGTAATGGTTGTTGGGTGAATAGTTTTTGTAAATTAAACCAGTTGGTAAAATATACTGTAGCGTCCTCGGTACCACTGCCTTCTGTTATTATCTAACTAAAATTTCAAGCTTGTCAGTTGTCTAGTACTGAAGTGGGTATACCCATACGCAAATTGCGTTAATAAAGGACTTAAAGTTTTTAAGTGCTTTTGTTACTATTGCGCTGTTCATTAAGATGATTTATTTTCAAAACCTGAAGTTATTAAAACAACAAGTTAAAGTATGCATAAATATTTAATTGTTTAGTATTTTCTTAAAACATTTTTTTTGAAACAACTATAATTACCAACACTTATGATTGCTTCGTTCCCATTAAAATGAAAAGATATTTAACCTAAAATAGTTTTAAACTTAAATGTTGTAAATACTTTTGAGTGTTATCAATTCCAAAATTGTACATTAAATATTTTAGAAAGAATATTTCGTATTTGATGATTAAATCAAACTTTAAATTCTAATCATGTTCTCGTATTTAGCTAACCTATATGTATTTCATATTTTACTCATAGTAGAACTATATTAGAAACATTACCATAATTTACCTAAAAATTAGATTAAACAAATATATACTTATTTCAACTATTAAGTATTTAACTGATATTATTATTATTATTATTATTATTTGATTTTCTGAATAACAAAAAGTTGTTGTTCCATCTTTCATTAATATTATTTAATATATACGCTAATAAACATACAATGAATCCTATTATTGAACAATAATTGTTAAAAAGATAGAAAAAATAGATTATCTGTTTTTTCTAACAAATATTTTTTTAACAAATTCAAATAGGTAGGGATTAAATTTGGGTGAAAATATATTAAAAATGATAAAAGAAAAAAAGGACGGCATATTATAAAAAAAAAAAATTTTTTCATAATTTTCGTTCAAACTATGGATACAAAAATATAAATAATAAAATAAATATTTTAATTTATTATACCGGGTATACTATATATCTATACTAATTTAGTAATTTACTAATTTAGTTTTATAAAACTGAGTTTAAAATTAAAAATAAATTACTAGTAAAAATGTAGATTCCGAGTTTTTAACGAAGAATGATAAATATATTTTTGAACAGAAATTTTGTTTTGTGTGAGATGCATTAATATCTTACAATATTATGGTGATTCGATTTGGAAGAGAATTATTGTTATGTACTACATAATCATTTCTGAAATCCATTTTAAAAATGCTCTATATTTTTCTGAAAAACTCATTTGACATATTTATTTTCAGTTGTTGTCCTTGGAATTGTCCATGAATAAGTTTGTCTATAAATGGTGCAGCAGCCCTACACAGCCCTTTTGTGTGTGTGTGCGAGTGCACATATTTGAATGGATTGTCTCCAATATATTTCTTGCATTAGTCCATCAGTTGAGTGCTGAAGACGGCGATAGCGCTAAGGGTAGAAAAGCACAATAATATCGGGTATACCATATAGGATTGTCAGCTTGAGTATATGATGTCATGACATTAAATTTGGTTTTTACCTTTACTAAAGTAAAACGTATAAATCGCAATTTTAATTTATTTTAAACATAATATCTGAATCACATTTGGTTGTATCAAAATTCGTACAAAATTGACATGCTGACAAAATTACTTTTCTAAAGTGAAATGGTTTGAATTCTTATAATTTTTATAATTATTAATTGTATGCTAACACGTGACTTACAAAAAAAAAAAAAAATATTCATTGATTAAAAGTGAATTTAAACTTAATATTTATATAACTAATACTTATAATTGTATCATTGTATCTTACATAATTTGCATTATTAATTAATAGTTTAGTTAAAATAATTAAGTAAACTATGATTACAATGAATAACCATAATATTATATAAAAATTTTAATAAATAAATTATCACTTATAATATTAACACCTATTAATAATACGATAAGACAATAACCAACTGTGAAATTTAATTTGCGTATTGCGTGGAAATCGTGGAAAAAAATATACAACAGCCTTTAAAACTAAATGTTTTTTTTTAATATTCAAGTAACCGAACTGGTAAAGTTTGTTATGGATTTTTTTTCTTTGAATACTTGTTGTTTTCAACTTTTCCTGAAGATTTCAAATTTACCTCTTTTTTTTTTTTTTTCATTTGCAACAACTAGGTACTAACACATTAAACATACACGAAGACGTTGGCACATCTGCAGTTGTTCTTTCATGTTGAAACAACTTCTGAGGCTTTGTTCCATTTCACACCTGCTCTGGCTAAACATATTTCCAAATCGGTCGGTTCAAGTAGAAATGTTAAAATATACATAAAAGCTTTATTCGAATTTTTCAAGTTTTAGTATTTTCTGGAATTATAGAGTTAATATTGTAATATCACTGTTACTCTTTCTTTGTACAAATATATCGATTTACTCTTTATTCAATCAAATAAGAAACACGTTTAGTATACACTTATTTTCATTCCTTCCAAGCTAGGTAATATAAATACTAAATAGTGAAATAGAGTATTCTGGTTCGTTTTATAAATACACTTACACACATAGATTTATATTTTATTTGTTCTCTTCGTATAATTTACAATTTTAAATAATATGTATATGGTATGTATAGTAGGTATTTGCTTACTAACAATACAGACTGTATCTATCGATCTTATAACCAATAAAAAAAAATTTCTAATCAATAGAATAAAAAATAAAATTCATGAACTTTTTATTATTTGTTAAATATTACCCGAACTGTCATGGATAGATTATAATTTATTACTTATCCATTTCTAGAACTCATATTATATATTTACAATTGACATACATTATGACAATGAGGTAATCGTTTACTTCCTCGTTATTTTCATATAAAAAAGGAAACAGGTCTTAAATCTACTTATTCTGACTGTGAAAAAACAATTTAGGTGGGTGAAGAACATTATAATTTACATTGATAATACTATTATTCAATTATAATATTGAGCAACCCAGTGGGGATTTTGTGGGGGGCGTAGGTGGGTCATCCCTTTTCTTGGTCTGTGTGAATATTTAACTATCTAGGAAGTCTAATGGTAATCTAGCTTAGTAGCATTTAATATTTATATCTAGGATAATACTTTATGCACAAATATAAACTTTTTATTTTCGACGAAACGTCGTCCTCGTATTAGTCACATATACTGACTTCATATAACAATAATAGGTCTGTAAATAGTTGGATTTCTATAGAAAAATAACTAAATGCAATTAAAGCGATATAAAATAGTGAAACATATTATCTGTTTCAGTTATGTTCAAAACACAATTTCAAGAAAAAAAAAATAACCCCAATATTTAATTCACTTGATTTTCAATACAAACTATAATACGTTTTCTGTACGTTTATTTTCTTGAAAATGTGAACGAAGTTTCCTAGTATTTTAAAGCAAATAAATAAAATAGGAATCTGTTATTAGTACTGTTATGCAACAATAATTTTAGCATAAATATTATTTAATGAGAGTAATAAATTAATAATTGATATTTCCAACCAATATGTATAATGCCATTATTATAATATTATGTCTTAAAGTTAACGATTAATATTTTAATATATTTGAAATTCTAAACGTGTTTCAGGTATCGTGGATACGACATCGGGACATACATCTTCTCACTGCGGGAAGGTACACATATACAAGTGACCAACGGTTCGAAGCCATTCATGAACCACATTCAGAAAACTGGTCGTTAAGGATAAAATATCCTCAAAAAAAAGATTCTGGTATATATGAATGCCAGATAAGTACAACTCCGCCCATAGGTCATCCTGTATACTTAACTGTATTAGGTAAGTCAACATTAATCTAATATGTTATGAAATAAATTATAAAATATGAAGTTGTAGGTATTAATATTGTTCTCTATATAATTCACGTAGGAAACAATAATGCCTTAATTATTTTTCATATTAAAATAATAAAATGCAGAATAAAATATATTTGGTGAAAATCGATTTGAAAACTATGTAAAATACCTATTGTTTTTTATAAATATGTATAAAATAAACTAAATTTTGATTAACCGTATTACTCAGAAATGTATACATTATGAAAATCCACTAACAAAATTCAACAAAATGCAATTACGAATTCTAAATTAAAAGAGAAAAGTGAAAACTATTGATTTTCTAATAGTATACTCTTTTTATATTTATTCGTTGTACTTTTTGGCACCTACAATGTTTTAGTTGTGATAATATGCTATATACTGCATAATTTTCTACCGATAGGAAATTGGATTCAAAATCATTTAGATAGTAGTTTATTAGTTTACCTACACAGTTTAAAATATATAGTTTTTAATATATATTTTTTTATTTATCAAACATTTAAACATAATAATTAAAAGTTAATTTTAACATTGGTAAATGAACATACTTATTGAATACGATATGAAATCAAGTTTTAAAATTACGTTATTCTGTTTTTATATTTTCAACATCCGTAAAACAATATGATT